TAGCTGGACAGATMTGAACCCAAAATAACCCAACAGTACCAATCTATTTTTAAAATCATAACCAGTTTTAGCCTGCAGGGGAAGTGAACCACAGGGGTTGGTCACAACGAAGGTAGAATGAATTGCAATTAAATGGAAATTAAATGGAAATGCAATGAAATAACATGTTGCTTTTTAACGGAAATTGAACTCTGTGATAAGAAYACAAAAAACCCACCAACCCTGTACTGTCACATACAATGTGCAAGCCAGAAAGGAAAGTACTAAAAAAGTGTTTTGCCTTAAAACTACTACTTTAAAAGGGATTCCAGTATTATTGAAAGAGCTGATCTGACAGTGGTTAGAKGAAAATCTAGAACAAGTAAATCTCAGCTTTTGTTCTTTTTTCCTTTAAGGGACTAAATAATTAAATTATCCTTAACTGTAAGTTTATTTCCCAGAGAGAAAAATGCATGTACTTCTATTTTGAATGTATTATTTTTTAAATAATCCATTTTGCTCRGTGTGGTTCAAGGTCAAATGCAAACCTTGGTTTCCACTGCCAAGCACGCAAGCCTGGCCATAGCTCATGTGTCTGCTGGCAAATCTGACACAAGGAACCTTGACAAAGTAGAGCACAAATGGGTGAGGGAACAACCCATACCTGAACCAGCTGTGTGCATCCCCAGGGATCCCTGCAGCACCTCATGCCAAAACTGAAGGTGGTTTTTTACTGATTCTTATTAGAGAATCTACAAACCGGGATCCTCAGGCTCTTCACTAGCCCTTYCACAAGTGTAGCAAAAGATTTGCTGTTGAGTCTAACTCCATGATGTTTGAAAGTCGGCACCATCTCTAGAAGATGCCTCACCCTTCCAGAGGATGGGGACAAGGATTGGGAGCATGAACAGAAACCAAGACCTTCTCACTGCTCATGGTGGCTCCACAGTCACTGCAGCACTGCTGACCTCTAGAGCCTTTGCAACACACTGGAGTCTGCACAGACCCCTCTGAAATGAAAACCTCCCCCAAACCTCAGAGATCACTCCTTTTTATCCAAGGCAGTCCTGAGAAGGYTAATTAAGCTGCTGTAAGGGATGGAAGGGATAGCTCCTCCACGACCACTTAGCCAATGCAAGTCTGTCTGGGTCATGGGCTGGGATGCTCTGCACTGCTGGTCACATCTGGGACCCAGGGCAAGAATGGCCGAAGCATCCTCCCGAGCTGTTAGGACAATGGGCAAACCTGGAGAAAGCTCAAAGTCCCCATTCCTTCCCTATCCATTGCCACTCCCTGCTCTCTGCAAGGGTCAGATTCCCCTGAGCAAACCTCATGACAGGACTTCCAAAATCCTGAAGACATCCGTGAAAGCTTGTGAGCAGCTGCGGTTCAACTCAGTATGTACTTATTTGTAAGAAAGACTTCAAAGCCTTCGTGTGCCTTCTGGTCCATTTATTCTAGACATTTTGTGTGAAAAGCAGCTTGAACCTGTTTCCAGGGCAGAAATCATTATCCTGGACTGTATTTGCTCTGAGGAAGATGGTGAAGACAGCCTGATCCACCTCTTTAGAGAGCAAAAAAAAAAACCTTTTGCCTTTCTGTTGGGGCAGTGACACCCAGAAGGATGGCAGGGAAAGTGATGGGAGCAGCCTCGATGGTCAAATTTACCCCACAGCTATATGCCTGTCTGAAACCTCACATCTCTCCCCTGTGCCACCATGCTCCAGGGCGGAGACACTGCCCAGCAGAGGATTTACTAATAAAACACAAAAAACCTAGACAGGAGCAAAGCGAGCCCCTTCCTCGTGCCAAAAGCTCAAAACTAATGGAAAGCTGCACCCCAGCTCAGGATACTTTTGTACTTGTCAGCGTGGCTGGCCCCRCTCCCATGGCCAAGCTAATTAGAGCCACAGGTCGTGTTGCCCTGTCACTTGCTGGGAGCAGCTGGAGGCAGATTTCCTATTTTGGATCTGGCAGGAGAGGTTGAAGCCAAGACCATCCGGCTGCTGTGCTCCATTCCTCACCAGGCAGCTTGAGGGAAAGCATAGGAAGGGCAGCAGCAAGGACGAGCACCCAGGGATGCTCCCAGCACATGGGCAGCCCAGCAAGGGGGAAGTGTCAAATCCTGGGGTGTGAATTTAAGGCAAACAAGAGCTGAGGCTTTTGTCCCTTCCCTCCTCAAAGCATTTCACCCACAGCAGCCATGTCCAGGCATCACATAACCAAATCTTTGAAGGATGGTGAACCTGACATTTTCCTTCCCCTGTCATCCCATCAAGAAAGGGCAAAAGCAGTAAGTCCAGTGTCACTTGCCTCTTCAAGATCCCCAGGGGATCTTAAAACCAGTGACACCACAGCACTAACTTATTGTGGAGTGATCAGAACTGTTCCAGGTTGTACTGGTGTCTGCAGAGACAGACGAGCTCAGCCTTCTTCTACGGGCTCTCATAACACACTGAATTGTTTGGGTTTGTTGTTTGGGTTTTTCTCAATGGTACTTTATGAGTAGGATAAGTAAATATCTGGGAAGCGGTTAACCAGTTGTTAGCAACTTATCAATGCCTCTAGCTATCCTGAAGGATGTTTTCAGCCTTGTGACCAACACCTTCCCAACCTCCAGACAAAGCATTCCAGACACAGTGTTATCCAAGGACAAGAAGGACCTTGGTTTCTGAACTTCAAATAAAGCAAATAAGTACACATCAGACCATAAGCCAAGCTCAGATGAAGAACAAGTATTTTCCTTTATAGTTATGAAAGCATGGAACTAAGGTGTTCCAGCTATCCCTACCCCTGGTACTGCCTGGTCTTTAGAGCACTGAAGCAGTTAAAGCATTTGCTGGAGCACTGGATCCACAGCCAAAATGGAAGTGTCAAAAGCCAAGAGTGCACCAAGTGGTGAGGGGATCAGATGGTTTGCACGCCGTACTCAGGAAAAGCCCATGAACAAGGACCTGTTTGATAACCTCCTGAGCCAGCCCACCAGACAACTCACTGGATGCAGTGCCAAAGTGCTGGGGAGGAGGGGCATGATTGTGAGAAACCCCAGCCCACAGGAGCCCCTTCCCTGTGGCTGGAAAGGCAAGCAGGGGAACAGCTGCCTGTGCTCTGGGGGCTGCAGGGGCAGCTGTTCTGATGGTTCTGGTCTGGAAGCTGAGGGCAAGGACTGCTCCTCTCCTCCTGCTGCAGCCTGAAGCATCATGCCTGGTACCCTACAACTTCCCTGTTCCCCACAGCTTCTTTCTCCCATTCCCCATTGCCTTCAAATCCCATACACCAATATTCATTGTTTTTCCTCTCCCATAACACACAGACATCTGGAAAAATAACCTTTAAGAAACAGCTCCATCTTTGGGGCAGGGGAAAGGACACAGAAAGAAAGCAGGAGACTCCAAATCCCCGCTTTCCTACTTCCCCTTCTCACTCAGTACACACCCTATGATGGAAGTTTTCCTCCTTCGACAGTGTTTATTGCTTTCCCCATCCTGCAGCGCCGCAGCAAAGCCTGGCTGGCCTTTAAAAGCCTCCTGACAAATCCCAGGACCAATGCCCCGTGCCAGACACCAAAAAGTGGTTTGCAAAGGAACAAAAACAACAGAATTCTAGAAGCCAAGCCCAGAGAGGTTTCCATTCCCAAAAGCAGGAACATTGTGTGCATGTGTATATTGCATGCTAGAGGAGAAAAAGGAGGGACTATCAGTTGTATGAGAGAGGAAAAATGCGGGGGGGCAGGGATGGCAGGGAAGCAAAAAGAAATCCCAGCCTTCAGACTCCAGAGGTCTGGCTGGGAGAGGCAGCAACTGAAAGAAATGCTCTGCTGTTATTACTGCATGGAAATTACAGCTGCCAGAAGGAATCCAGGCCAATCTGTTGCTGAATATAACTTTAAAAAGACAGCCAATCTCAAATCACGAGCTCTTCACGGGTGTYGAAAAGTCAGTGCTGTGGTGGGACCCACAGTGCTTCCCCATCACCTTCTGAACAGCAAAGGCCAAGGACAAAGACAAAACAAAAAGGGGTGGAAGAGTGAAAGATGTTCAACAGGTAGGAGGGAAGGACTCTGCCTCACTTCCCAGTTCGAAGTGTTAACTAGGGAGATATCAGYTGTTAGGCCCCCAAAAGAAGAAGAGGTTTGAACCGGTTCCTGGAGAGAGTTTAATTTCTTATAAGCTCCCTTTTCTCTTTTTAGAAATTAGATCTACAAAGGAGAAATGCTGCAAATAGGGCTCAGGGTGTGAGGCAAGAGGGGAGAGACAGCAAGAGAGAAAACCTCACAGCCATTTACACCAGGAGCATATTCGTGACAGCCAGGGAGAAGGCTCAGGCATGCTGTTTCACAGGCAAGCAGGGAAATTCAAAAGAAACCCTTTCCAAAAAGTAATTTTAGCTACAGGTGAGAACAGGACATCGGATCAGACCATGTTCCCAGCTTGTGCTCCAAGCCAGCTCTTGCCTGGCAGCCAGCCCCTTCTGCAAGCTGCTCCCCCTTGTCTGTGAGGGATCATTKGAGAGCAGGGGAAAAACAGGGGGTTTCAGCTTCCAGCAAGCCAACATGCTGTCAAATTAACAAAAATCACGCTAAGCTTAACCATAGTGCACAGAGGCTCCACCTGCCCCTCCTGGAGAACATGAGTCACACGATCACCAAGCTTCACTTTCTACTGCCAGGCACTCTGTCGGCTACTTTCACATCCCTTTGGATAGGAAATAAGACATGCTTCCAAGAAGTCCCCCCTCTTCCCAAACGTGCTCTGGAGAAAATCCGCTACACTGCAACACGTCCTTTTTTGCATTTTTAGCTGACATGGTTTTGTCTCTGCATTCACAGAGCCAACATTTCTCGAAGGCTTTGGCTGGCACAGCAGGGGATACTTTGGAGAGTACAAGGGCACAGGGAGGTATTTTTATTGTGATCTCCTTGTTGCTCACCTGGAGCTTTCTGCCCTGCTTTTGGATACTCTGCAGCCCACCCTGGGGTACAACACCCAAGCAGCAATAGCAGCAGCCCCACACCTACTCACCGACGTAGAAGGTGTTGGGGGCCTGCTTGTCCCCCAGCTGCAGGTACAGRATATTCGTAGTCTGCGAGTCATGGCGAAGCCACAGGGCCACTCCCAGGATGATGCCTCCGGCCAGCTGGGAGAAAACAGAGGGAAGCAAGGGTTACTCACTGTTCCAGCCACATCGGACCCAGATTGGCAGTTTTCAGCCARGAGCAGAAGACTTGCTTTTCATCTTCCCACAAATGTACAAGAACATCTTTTCTAACCATCATCCCACCCTGCAATGCGCTTTGTGCCCTACAGATCATGAACCATATGATCTTCTCTGCTTTATGAGAAAACCCCTCATTCTGGGGATSTGCAAAGTCCTTTCCAGTTCTTACAGGTGATTTCTTTTCCAACAGCTATTTTATTATGCCATTAAATGGAAGGCTCCATCTTACCCAAGCAGAAGATGTGCCACAAAGGCTTTCAGGAGAGCTTTTCAACACAAGTTAGGATCAGCCCCAGTTACTCACTTTTCCCAGTGGGCTCTTATCACCCCATTTCGTTTCTCCRTAAGGCACAAAGTGGCAGAACTGTTCCCCACAAGTCTTGAATGCACACTACTTCCCATCCATGGTCAGGCTTCCAGTCAAACAGACCTGGTGCTCCTCTGGCACACAGGGCTTTCCTTCATGTCCTAACACAGGGATTGAAGTGGAGCAAGGCCTGGGYTCAGGCCAAGGCACCACCACCTCATTTTGGAGACCTCCAGGCTGAGACTGCTGCCTTTCCCACGCTGCCCAACAGCAGAAGAGCAGCACGCCCACAGCCACGTTCGCACACCGACACGCAGGACTGACGCCAGGACAAGGACAAAAACACTCCAAACGTGGGAGGAGATGTTCTGTGCATCGACTCAGCCACTGGGATATTTATGTACAAACAATTGGAAGYTTTATGACTGACTTCCTCGCTGTTTTCTCTTTCAGGCAGGGGCTGGGAACGGCAGCGGAAAATGGGAGCAGATATGTGGCACTACAGCAGGGAAGGTGTCACCAAGAGGAACTCAATCTAGAGCATTTCCAGCAGGACTTGCTGTSTCCTCTGTGACATCCCCCTTCTGTTTAAAAGCATAAGAGAGAAGGGAAAAATATAAACATCTGGAAAAAAAAACAAACCCTTAAGAATTCAGTATCACTGCTGTGAAATGCTAGAAGCACCCATTCGATGCCAAATTRATTTTGAGTGTCCTAAATCCTTGAAGCCATTCATCTTAAATWGGGGAAGATGACTATCAAAGACTACAGAAGTGGAAACATGCATTTTTCTAAAAGGKTTTGAATCGGGTAGCTACAGGCTCCATGAAGGTAACATTAAAAAAAAATAAAATTAAAAAGCAGTGGTTTTTTTCCAGAAAAGTGCAGTCTCCAGTTGTACAAGCACAACAGTGAACACAGGACTGCAACAAGAGGCTATCGGTGGCTTCCTCCTTGCTCATTTCTCTGAGTCCCAGTCACAAGATTTTTCCAGGAATGCCATCAAAGCTGGGGCAAACCCACACCATTTGTTCGAAACTCACAGGGCAAGCTGCTCTCAGGGCTTTGCCACTACCAGAGGGAGAAAACCCCCACTAGCTCCTGGAGAGGGAGGGAATCTTTGCCCTTACCCAGTTTGCCACCAAAGTAATCAACTTTTAACAGCTCTCCCACAGCAACCAGTACAACTTCCCTGCTGGCACAGTCCCTCATCCCTCCTGCACTGGGGCCAGCCTGAGGTTCTCCAAACACTGGCTATGGAGAAAAGTCAGGAAAGCTGGTCTGTGCTCAAGCCCAGCTCCAAAWAAGGCAGACTGTGGCTTTGCAGAAAGTTACCCAAATCCAGCCTGGCATGGCTCGTTCATTGTCAGAGGGTATAACAAAGTTTGTGTTTTTACTCTCAGATGAAAGAATATGCCCCCAAATTAATCCATGMCACTCCAAGTAAAGCTCTCTTTGTAACTGCTAGGACAGAAGAGGTCCTGAGGAAGGTTTGTATTTCTGTGCTGGCTAGAAGAGGTAAAGAAAATACGWTGCAGCCCTTTTTGTTTTGGTTTTCTCCCTGCAAGGACACATTGCTCTGCCCTGACATGCTGCCCTCCACGCTCAGCAGTGCCCATCCCAGCAATTCCTGCCACCCATGGCAAGGTTGGGGAGACACCAGCAGCTCCTTTCCAGACAAATCTGCCTTTAAGTGCCTCGCAGAACCAAAAGCAGGCAGCAAGGTATCCTCGAAATATTTTTTAATCATTTGGGAACATCAGCTAGAGGGATGGAACCTCTTCTAATGCATCAAACCCACCCCAACAGCGAGGTCTGCCTAAGACAGGCAGCTGAACCAACTCCAGATGTTCCCAGTTTCATCCTAAATGCGGCCTGGGAACATCACATATCCCTCCCTCACCGCCTGACTCCATTTGCATTTTTAGCAGAGCGTGGAGGACCTCTGAATGGAAGCTTTAATCCAAGAGCAGCTGGATTTCTTAAGAGAAAATGACATTCACTTACTAATGAAAACAGGGTTTAGGCTATGATGAGTAACTTTTTCCATGAAAACCATACATCCTCCCACCACCAAGAAGCCYGAAATGGAATTAAGGCTCTTTCTTCCCAAAGCAAAGAAAACAAGAGGGAGAAAACATTGTCAGCTTGCCACAGTAACTCTGCCTTCTGCTGTACCTTACTTGGGATAATCTCATTTTTAATAAAACAACTTGTTCCAGATAAAAGCTTGATATTTTCTTCCTCTTCCATCCTGCAACTGCTGTTTGCCAACCTGAGAGCCCAAAGAGCTCCATCCACTGATGGCAACATCATGCTTATCTCTAGGCTGCCCATCCTCATACATATCACTCTTATTTTCTACTGTAGATATCTGTAATCTCATGAAGGTTATTCCACTGATCTCTGTGTTCTCAGCTTGTCAGACAGCAATGCTGCAGAGGCTGAGACCATCACTCATCACAATACGCTACAAGTGCCCAACACAACTTTCCATTTAAACTTCGGGGACTGCTTTAACAAAAGCAATAATCTAAAAGCTGCAACGCCAGCAGTGTGTTGGACTTTGACCTGCTTCCCAAAAGCTGACCTGCCCAGCCTGCTGTTCTCCTGGCAGCACCATGGCACACCACTGGTGTTCCYCAGGATGGGGCTGGCCCCAGAGCTCACGCCCTGAGCAGCTTCTCGGCACAGCTGAGGTGGTGTTGCAGGCTGCAATGTTTCCTCTTTACTGCTATTTTCCAGCTCCCAGAGATTTATTGCTTCTTCCACAGACAGCTAGAGTTTTCCAGCTGGATCCTGCCTGCCCAAGGCTTGCTTTTTCAGGAATGCTGCTCCTGGTTGACACAGTGGAGGAAGGGCCCCATCGAATTCTGCCCAGGGGAGGGAAAAGGCAGGCCCCATACCCAGGAGGTGCCCCATGTGAGGAGCTATCACTGGATGAGGAACACCATGAAGGCAGGCATGAAATCCTGGTTTGCTGCCCAATCCACCATGCATGTAGTGAGGATCTTTCCTGGACTGARCTTCACCAGCTAACATGCTGTTTACCCTAAAATTTCCAGATCCAGCTGTGGGACAACGGAACAAACCCATCTTTCACAGCTTAGTCACTCCCCCTCTCCATAAGAAATTATTATGAATTAGGGGTGTGAGGAATGGCCCCCTTCCCCTTTAATGTGGTGGACCCCAGTTCTGAGCTGTCTCCACCTTAACCTGCTGTTCCCTGAAACTCACATATGCCAGGATGTGCATCACCTCCCCGGTCCCTTCCGCTGCCCCCAGCCCTTTTCCTCCTGTTCCCTTCCCTCCACCCGTCTCTGAAATAGGTTTCCTGGAAGGGAGGAGGAGAAGGAAGAATTCCTGGCTATAGGGCAGCTCGCSAGGCATGCCAAAGCAAAGCAGACAGACATCCTGTGGCTCAAGTCAGCGAAGGAGGGAAGTGGAGTTGCCAGCAGTTTCATGATGCTGTATTTTAGAAGTGCCACTTTCCACAGCCATGGCTGGCCCTGCTTCCAGGCCGTGCTTCCCAACCTGTGGGAGCCACRGGCCAGGAGAGGCTCTCGCCCTGCTGCAAAAATGCTGCTGGCAGAGCTCACGCCACGATGCCTGGGAAATACCACAGTTACTTACAAGAAGCAGGATGCTGCCAAGAAGGCTTAATGAGTTTTAGCTGGTTTATGATTAAGGCAGATGACTGGAGATTTTTAAYAGGTTTTCATGCTGTAGAGGTTTGCAGTTTCTCTGGGAAGCAGATCCTTTTGTGAGGGCAGCAGCCAGACCCCACCCGAGAAGCCCAGCCAGGGCTCCCCAGGGCACCTCTCACACAACCTGCAAAGCAGCTGAGATGGAATAACAAAGAATCCTCCTCCTTTCAGGTGTGGGGAACCAGGATGCAGAAAAACAAAGCAACTCACCAAGATTGAAGTATCTTTCCATTCAAGAAGCTCCTGATCTGGCAGGAACAAACTCTAACTAGGGGTTGAATGCTTTGCTCCCAGGTCATTTATGGGTCTCCAGGTGAAGCAGCAGGTATCATACTCTCCAATATGMACAGTGAAACATCATTGTGTTGCTGCACTCAGCACAAGTGGGGAAAAAGCGAGGAGACAGAGACTCATAACTTGATGGAAAGAAATCACCTTTGGAAGTCCTTGCAAGATCCACACTAGCACCTTACAGGTTCTGCACTACCAGACTGAGAAGGGCAAGAGGGGGGCACGGAGCCTTCCCACAGCCTGCACCCCTCCTCTGGGAAAACAAAAAATGAATTTATTTTCTACTCCAACAGCAGCACCTCATGGAACTACTGAAAGGCATGGGGTGTAGCAAATGGCTGACACCTGAATGGCGGCCCAGGACCCTGGGAACTTGGGCTCAATGCTGCCACCATCTCCATGTTACAATGTCAAGTCTCCACACAAAAAAGTCACTTGAAATTCTAAGGTGAGAAGCTCTAGAGATCACCACTATGCTGCTTGTTGAGGCAGACTGTGGGACACCCTGGAGCGCCTTGGAAAGGTGTAAACAGGGGAAGTGACTTCAATCAGACACACAGCTGTACACTGACAGCTGCACAACGCAAAGGCTTATCTTGGCACAGGCAGGAGCGGCAGACAGGACTCTGAGAGAGCACAGGCGAGGTCCTTCTGCTGCCTTCCACAGCCACCAAAGGACAGGGTGAAAGTCTGCAGGCAAGGCCTGCTCAGGAATTGCAGAAAAGGCATTTGGGAAGAGCACCGTGCCCTGCAGGCAGAACAGCCTGCAGCCCATGCTCCGCTCCCAGCAGCACACCTTCCAGCAGCRGCTATTAATAGAGCTGCCAGCCAGAGCGAAATTCTCCACTGGTGCCTATAGTTACCAGCCCCACAACACTGCAGAGCTTTTCAAAACAAGCTCCAGAGGAACACTCCCAGACAAGCTGCATGCCAGAGGCCAAATAAAGCTTGATGGATGGGAGGAGAAAGGGAATCCGGCACCAAAATCCAGGAGTGGGGTCCTACAACAGGGAGCATCGTGCTCGCAGAGAAGTAGCACTTTCCAAGGTTTAACTGCTCTCAGCAGAGAGGAAAACAATTTGAGATATCACTTTAAAATTAATTTAGCCCCATATGTAAGCTACGTTTAACTACAATGGTAATACAACTGCTTTTCTTTCTTAACAGTACAGTGAAAGGCACTTCCACAGCGCAGGATCAAAGCTTTTCTCAATGTTAATGCTCTTGCAGAAGATAAGCATTATGGTGGCTGACAGGAGAATATCCTCAGGAAAACAGAGCAATCCCCTTTCCAGCCGGCAGCGCTCCCTCCTTTCGCTGCAGCCCAGCCCACTAAATGAAATCGGGTACCCCCACAGGGCAGGACACCCATCTCTTCAAAAAACCTTCTGCACACAGAGACATCGGGAGAGGTTCTGTAGATGATGGTACACTGTGTTCACTTGACAGAGAGCCCTAAAACACATCCCAGAGAGCYATCAGCAAGAAAACTTGAGTCTAGGTACTGAGCCTGCTAAGGAAACCTCTCCCCCACCCTTCAAAGACAGGTATTAAGTAGCTGCAGAGTCAAGCACACATGGAAATACACTTGCCCAATCGTCCCGGGATAACAAACTCGAAACCTGTGGAAGATGGTGCTGGGCCAGCATCAGGTCCTTGCTGCTTGCAACCCTCTCTGCAATTCCCAGGGAAACCTGACCCAGCCAGGCACTACCACCAGTAGCACTGCAGCAGTGCTCAGCCTAAGCCTGCACCCAGAACAAGATGCAAACTACTCTGTTAGTTCAGAGTTATTTCAAACCCGTGTTTCAGAGCTACAGAAACCAAGAGATGTTCCATTCTTCATTTAACCCCATAAGCAGTAGTACACAGCCACCTCCTCGCCACAATGGGAGGGTGATGTGGCACTCAGCAAAAGTGCTACCATGGGACAACCAGAGAGCTGTCACCTCCACACACTGTCACCTCAAGTGTCTCTGTGCAGGCTTTGTGGGCTCCAAGAACAGTTAACAGACCTTCCTGTGTTGCACAAGAAAACACACAGCTCCTTGTCCCTTTCAATCACCCCTGTCGAGACAGACTCTCACTTCCACCTTCCCTCTGCTCCTCCCTCCCTTTGCACCCAGACTGTACTACATCCCCTCAACACATGGAAGAGTTACACAGTGCCTGGAAAACGGCATTAGGAGCAAGCTCATCCTTTTAATTAGACACCTCTCTGGTAGGGCAGCCAGTGGTGCTCACAACCTGGAAGGCTGCCATGAGCTGTATTAGCTAATAAGCTTGAGCAATCCTTCTCCAAGCAAGTCAATTCCTCCTTGGTTATGTTTAATTATATTTTAAAATAGCTCACTGGCTTCCTTTGGCCTCCCCAGGGACTCTTTGCAGCGGTGGTCAGTTCAGCCCCATGCACTGAGCTCWGCTATYGSAATTGGATCATTCAGGAGAGCAGTYGAAGTCCAGCCATCTTCTAGGGATGGGATGGAGAAGCAGCTCCACGGGCCACATGTCCAGCCCACCCTGCTCAGAGCTGCCYATCACTCCAGCCCAACTGCCCAGTAACAGCTACAGCTACTGCTCCTTCTCACAGGCTCACCACCAGTCACCCCAAGGTTTCAGGACAACGGGACAGCACAGAAAAGCYTTTGTCTTTCCAGTCCTGTGTTTTGCTACCAGGTGAAGCCCCCAGGTGTTGRCCATGGCCTTCCTCAACTGCTCCAGTAGATGGATGCCACTGTGAAACACGTGGGAACCCCCTCTCCTGGGACAGGCACCTGTTTGTACATGTGGTCCATGCAGACCAAGCACAATCTTGCATCTTTTCAAAAATGCGTGCAAAAACGAAAAACGATCCCAAAAAATCAAATCAAACTGAAACATCTCAGGTACAATGAACGAGGAGCTAGCAGCAGGGTCACCCGTTCCCTTTGCTTTTTCACCACAGCAGCTTTGTGAAATTCCCCCTGTGCTGCCAGGGGAAGCCAGGGGGAAGAAGCCAGAGGGGTGTCAGTTTATTTACACTCCAGCAGGATAGCAGGGCTACATAAAAAAAGTTATCAGACTAACTAAGGCTGAGAATTGCTTCCTTTCTTTCTCTTGGGCACCAGAACAAGCTCCTGTGCAGCACAACATGGTGCCTGCCAAACTTTGGGCTCTGCCTCTGGCTCGTTCTCATCAATAGAACCCAACATCAGCTGTACACAAGGCAAATCATAAGCAAATAAGCACGAGGAGCCCATCAGCCCTTGCATATTAACCAGCTGGCAGGACTAAARGGCTGCAGGTGCCCTGTCTCACACCTCTCTGTGGTTAGAGATGATGTCCCGAAACAGCCAGCTCAGCACCACATTCTGTCTTTAAACATGGTATCCCTCCCCACCTGGGCCTTCAAGGTGGGCGGCTAACCGGCCTTTGTGGTAAACCTAAAAATTCCCCTCAACTACTAGTTTAAACAAACAACACAAAAGGGTTTGAAAGCCCCGAGGTCTGGTATTCAACCACCATTCAGCTGGCCAGCCTCACAGAAAGCATTGTTAATTCGAATGAAGTCCAGGCCCCCAATCTGCACAGGAGATGGTGTGAGGGGACCGACCACTGGCAAGTTCAGCACTGGAAGATGTTTTGGGGAGCCAGTGGGTCCCAGCTCACATGTACCCCTCCTTGGAGGAACTGAAGCATCTACCCCCAGCACTCGCAGGCAGCACCCTCCAAAGGGGCAGGGCAAAGCACCAGAAGTCATAACGGGGAAATTATAGACTGGCTATTCCTCTTGGAAGCCAAATGCCCATTTATAAAAGACCAGCTCTTTTGCAAGGCTTTGAGGTGAGCAACTGATCCTGCTGAGGAGTGGCGGCTGTGCAGAGTCCATAGCATCCTTCCTGCCACCCAGGAGACCCTTCCTCCCTCACATGCACAGCCGGCAGCTTCTTCGACAATAAAGGCAGGAAATCGGTACCAGAAGGGAAGAAAAAACCCTGAGATAAGCATAACTGGGAAGGAGCAACACTTCACAGACAACCCTACTYGCCTGCATCCTGCCATTTTAAGAGTGAAAGAAAAGGTTAAAAAAAACAACCCAGAACTGTCCCACATTCACGCAGCTGGCAACACATCAGGTATCAATTAACACCGTTGTCGTCAGAGCTTATCATCTCCCCTTTGCTCCACCTTATACCCAGAAACAAGGCAAGAGGCCTGAAATGAGCACTCATTTGGAAAAGTCCCACATCTCCCAGAGATAGGGACCTCCCGAAAGAGGAGTCAGCAGGCAGAGTCTCCACCCAGGCAGTACAACTCCAGATGCCAAGGCAGGGCTTGTTCTGGAAGGCATCGGTCCCCTTCCCACCGCTCCAGCCCAACTTGCGACATTTGCAGCTGTAAGCAAGCAYTGAGGAAAAAAACCCCAAATCCTCGACAACAGAGGGGGGTGTCAGACAAGGGAAAAAGGGTATGGGACAAGGGGCATTCAAGAAGTGCCTCGCCTGGCAGGGTGGGGCTGGACTCACTTCCAAGACAGAAAAGAATTCCGTGGAATGGAAACCTGCCGATTTAAAACACGAAACCAGCAGCCTGCTCGGGGATATCTCGTTGCCCCCGGGCGCAGGAGCAGGGAGAGAGCGTCTCTTGCCAGCCAACCTCGCACTGCCGGAGGCTGTTTCTAACCGGGACAAACCTGGTTTGCAGGGAAACCGGGATACGCCGCTTTTTACTAAATTAGCCGCATGTCTGGATGGATTATTTCACAAGAAAGTTTCTCAGGAAAGGCAGCCTCCTCTCCAGCCTGGACAGAATTTGCATCCTAAAATAACTTGCAGGGCGGCGGGGGCAGCGTCCCCGTTGCGGGGCCAGGGCGGCCGGGTCCCGGCTGTGCCCCAGCYGCGGGGCGGGGGGCGCAGCAGCCCCGAATCGCCCGTGTTTGCCCAACGCCCCCTCCTCTGCGGCGGGCGCCAGGGCCGGCGCCTCCTCTCCCTCCCTCCTTCCCTCCCTCCTCCTGGCAGCATCTCTGCATCCCTCCCAGCCTGGGAGCGCCGCTTTCCCCAGCGCAGACCCACAGCAAGAGGGACTGCGGGAGCACCCCCCGGCTCTGCCCCCCGCCCTTCCGCTCCGAAAGGCGCCTAGAAACATCTGCAGCAGCTGGACGCAAGCATCTTAAAGGTCTTCTCCAACCTCAAACCGTCCTACGATTCTACCTCCCCCTCTACGTACCTATTTAAAAACAGACATAAATAGACATGCATGTACAATTACATACATATGCACGCGTTAAAATAAAAGAGCAAAGGATAACCAGCCCCTCCGCCCGCGGAAAACAACAACAACCACCCCCCACCCCCCCAGAAAAAAAAAAATATAAATAAGAAAAAAAGAAGCAGCCCCTAAGGCACATCCCAGACAGCAAGCCTCAATGCTGGGGGGCAAGAAGGAGGCTAAACCCAGGCACAGGCGGACGAGCCATATTGCACTCCCCCTTATTTAAAAACTGGGGGCCTCAGCGCCCCCTCCCCGCCACCCYTATGCTCACCCAGAAGATGAAGTTGAAGACGAAAAGGAGGTATTTGATGCACTTGGTGCAGCCTTCCACTCCCATGGCGACGGCTCTCCCAAATCTCTGCTGCCTGCCTGGGTTGGGGCGGTGGCGGCGGCGCACAAAACCCGCCCCGCTGCCGCCCCCCGCGCCCCGCCCCGGAAACGCCTCTCGGACACGCCCCGGACACGCCCCGGACACGCCCCTGGACACGCCCCACCGCCCCCGGCACGGGGGATTGACACATGCAGCTCCGTTACCTTCCCGAAACTGGAGGCTGCCTGTTCTTTTCCTTTTTTTTTTTCCTTTTCTTTTCCCTTTTCTTTTTTTTTTTCGTTTTTCTTACCCAGTTTTCCTTTTTTCTTTCTCTTTTGAATTTTCTCTTTCCTGCCTTTCCCCCCTTATTTCATTTTTACTCTTCTCCTTTTTTCCTTTTCTTCCTCTTCTGTTTTCTTTTTTCCCTCCCTTTTTCTTTTTTCCCTTCTTTCTTTTATGCTCACCCATTTTTTTCCTCATCTCTTTCCGCCTCCCCCATTTTTCCTTCTTGCTTTTTTTTTATATGTGTTCTTATTTGTTTTTCTTTGGTTTCCTTGCCCTTCAGGGGCACAGCAAAGGTTCCTACGCACAAGTGGCAGCCACGGGGGCAGGTGTTGGGGTTGTAGGAACACCATCTCCCAAACCTGACCACCATCCCTTAAAACTCACTGCCACCTTCTAAACATCACCAGGCAGCCTGGGATGCAGGGAGAAGCCGCTGTGAATAGGTGCAGGGTGCAAGAGATGAGAGTGCATTGATGAGGGAATCCCACTCCCTCAAAAAAAAAGAGCAAAGGATTTTTGCATTAAAACTCTCAGTCTGAAATTCAGAGAAGCGTTTCCTCATTTCCCCTTCCAATTTTATCTCTAAATMTGCTCCGCTGAATAATTCTTGTCTGAGCTTGTGGCTTCAGTACTGCAAGCAATTGCATCCAGTTCAGTAGAACCACCCTGGATGTTTTCCCTTGGTTACTGGGTAATAAGAGCATCAGGAGGGCTTCAGGGCTCTTTGCCCACCAAAGAGATTTGGGTCACAGATATCAACTGGCTTGGGAATTTTAGTTAACCCCCTCCCCTCCCAAAGCTGCGCAGTAGAAGCACGATGAAATTTCCCAAGCTTTTGGCTGAAACCCACTTTGGCCCACTTGCTCATTCCTAGAAATATAAATTGTTCTCACCCCATGTCATGCTTCCAGGAAGCTCATTCACTTCTCCAGGGGCTSGGTAGTAAGACACACAACCAGAGCACAAGAGGATGCCTGGAAAAGGCATCAGTGAGCTGCTCCAGCCAAGGTCGGCACCTCTCCATGCTAAATATGAAACCTGGCACCCACCAGCAGCGTCGTGCATGGACACCTGCCCTCYTCCTGCCTGGGCACTTCCCTGCAGTGAAGGATTTCAGGGAGCAGCTTCTGAGCCAAGTATTTTCACACTAACARAGTCTTCCCAGCCATGCATCCTGTAGTCAGCAATGAGCTGTTAGTGAACACACATTTCCCACACTCATATGTTGAAAACAAATCAACTTCCTCAAAAATCAACCCATTGCCCTCAGGGATGAGTTGGTCCAGGGCCTTTTCATGTTGATGGAGACTGTCCTTTCCCCTCAGTGACAGCCCATGCACTGCATGGTGGCAGGGACCWGGAATGAATAGATGATGGCCCCATTCCCTAATTACTTATGCTGAGTACGTCCCCAATTATGGGCTTGCCATGGATTCATAACCCCTTTGTCTCTAAGCCACATTCACTCATCCAGACTTACCAACAAAGCCGGACGTTCACCAGGCTATTTATGCATGTAACTGCTGTCCTGAATTATCAGCATGACCCATCTGGTTACAGCAATAGCTGTAATCCTGGGTGGCTCTGGCTCATCAATCCAAGTGATAATAGCAGCATCCCAAATCTGCTCACTTGCCACATCACAGCGTCCCACATCTTTTCTTCTGCACCTCCATTCTTTACTGCTATAAATAGTAAAACAAAAATAAATCCCACCAAAAAAAAGAAAAAAAAAAAAGAGTAGAGGTTGAAGACAGGAGACTACAAACCAGGAAGCCTCTTGTGCATTTAGGCAGCTGTACCCAGAAAAACTCTCTGAGGTGCTGCATGGAGAGTCTGCGTGGAAGAGGAAGGAACCACCTGCAGTAAGGCCTTCAACAGCAGCAACCCCACTGCCTATGAAGGAAAATGACTCTCAAATCAACTTTTCTACACTGGAGAGCAGGCAACCCCAGCTGCAATTACTGCCAMAAGGTTGCTATTGAAACTGCTGCCAGGGAACTCAGGATTGCTATTTTTTGTGTTGTTTTTTTCCCCACAMTGTTGTTTTTCTTTTCTTGCTCTCTGCCATTTTTCCTCCTGTGGTGAGGAGTGAAGGAAAGCGGAGAACAAGAAATAAACATTTTTGTACCCTCCAAAAATTGTATCAGGCAACAATTTGGTTTGGAACCAACACAGTCCTGTTGCTGGGACCTTCCTTCAGGTTCTGTTGGAGCACGTGTTGCTCAGGGACAGCTGTGGCCCTGGCAGGGGGAGCAGGGGTGCAGTCCCACTGTTTCCTACATCAAGAAGCTCCCAGTTAACTTTAGTAGCCTCAAGCCTCCAGGGTTTAAACTGGCCATCTGGTCTTCTCCAAAAGCTGGAAGTGCAAAAGGATTTCAAGCTTTGTCTTTTTTTTCTGTTGTTGTTATTTTAGGCAGCTCAGCTGGGGACATTTGAAAACTTCGTCCTTTAGGTACAGGAATAAAAAACTCATCATTATAGCACAGTGACAAGATAACGTATACTGTTTCCCAGGATCACATGTGATTTCAGGTGTTGTATACTCATTTCTCATGTTTCATACTCATTTGTCCCACTGCATGACATGCTGTACAGCCCRCAAAGTACCACAACTGCCTTCCCAAGGCTCTCAATGGCTTTACCAGCTCTTTATAAATAAGTAAAGCTAATTTGCAAAAATTCAGTTCATGTCTGAGTGTCACATGCCAGTATCGAGTGTGAGTGATATGAATAGGGCTGATGACTTCCCTCTTCAGGAGGAAAAGCTGGTTTGAGTGCTCAGGGCATGCACTCCTTCACAGAGCAGCCAGCTGCAGGCAGGGCTGTGAGAAAGCTACCTGCCCCCCAGCCTTTCATCACTCAAAGAGAAAAAATAAACTCCAAAAATGTTTTCAAGCAGCCAAGAGCAGAGGTGCTTGCAGTGTTTTTTTCTGTCTGTTGAGCTTGGGTTGTTAGGGTTTTTTTGTGAATCTGTTTATAAAAGTCAGTGTTTTTGCTTGTGGGTTTTGGGTATGACTCACCAGGGTMCGTTAGAGCAGATGCTGCCTCTCTGTCCGAGTTTAGCAGGACCGGCAAACCCAGCCCCTGAGACTTTGAGCATGCTTATCCCAGAAAGATGCCCACCTGCCTTCCAGCAGCTTCACCTTAAACTGCCTTTGTTTTACAAAAAGCAAGGGAGGGGGAGGAGGGGAGAGGACAGACACACATCCTCCTCACCTCTTACAGGGGCCTGAAGAGCCAGCGGCCAGGATGTGAAATGACTACCATCAAGGCAGGCTCTAAACACCTACTGACCAGTGTCTCCAGGAGATTCRGAAGAGCAGATGGGAATCCCTCATCCACTGGGGACAACAGAATGGCTGCTGATGTGGTATTCTGGCTGCATGGCTTGGGCTTTCATGGCAATCTGTCTTCCCTCCTCTGCCAGCACAAAACTGATGGATAAACCACGGGAATAAAATGCAGATCATCTTGCTGGTGAGATCCTAGTTAGCTTTTAACCACTACTTATTTTYATTGCAGAATACAACAGAAATAGTCTGAATTTCCGATTTACCTGTAGCGGTAAAAAACAAAACAACAGCAGCATCACCAAAGACCTTTAAATATGACATTTTGGAGATGCATGATAAGAAACTCAGAAATTCATCCTGTGGGAGGCTCATAGTCCCAGAGTGCACAGGGGTAACTTCCTAGGCAGCCAACACCCACAATGCTGTTTTTCCAAGGAAGGGACTTGAGCAAGGGCAATCTGCAGTGGATGTACTRGCCTATGGCAATGGGAAGGTGGACCTCCATCACTTCAGGAGAAACCTGGCAAGCCATCAGCGCCTTCTTTTTGAGCAGAAAAGAAACAATATGAGGAATCTCATCCCCATATCTAAGGGAGCATTTTCAGGATAACTCTTCAGTGCCCCAGYAGGAGTGGCTGGTGCCTGCTTATCCAAAAATCCCCATGCTCATCTCTGCAAGTTGAGCCAAAGCACTGTGGCAGTCTGGGGGTGTGCACTTGCCTTGCAGCCTCAGGCGAGAGGGATGCAGCAAGCAGAGACCTGTGGCTGTGCCTGAAGTTTCTGTTTCTAATAAACTCAACAAATGGTTCCCATCTGCCTGGTCTGTCTCTCTGCCATCTTTAAATATTTATATCAGTGTATCTATGGTGATAGGTCAGGTTATATAAGCGGGGCGGGGGGAGAACACAGCATCAGCTCCTTGCTGGAGCCACAGCCGAGGGAGTGAAAACCCGAGCGGGTTTGCCATCCACGCAGACGCTCTCTCTTCTCAGCTCGAGAGCCCAGAAAGTGAACATGCATTTTTCTCAGGGCAGCAGAGAGGGCTGAGCCACAGCTGGGCTGAGCTGTGCTTTGGGAGGTGCCATGTGGGAGAGCAAGAGCCCAGCCCATCAATGCAGAGAGCTCTTCTTGTATAATCAATGTATAATTCATTAGTAGGTGAATAAAGACTGGAATAGTTTATTGCTGATGTAACAGGGCTAAAAAGAGACAGAGCACGTCCGTGATTAAGCTGCTGCACGCAGGGGTTAAACAATAGCACTGAGGGAAGCTGAGGAGAGATGGGGGATTCTGTCTTGGGATAATATAAACAACACAGCTAGCTGACTGCCAGCGACTCCAGGGAGAGCAATGAGGGATATGCATCTTCCTGGCAAAAAATCTGGGAAGAACCTTTCCTTTTTGCTTGCTGGAACAGCAACTAGAAGACAGCAGGGCTTTAGCTGTTGGTGGGCACCTCCAGACTCATCTGAAATTATTTCTCCCAAGATGTGCTACTTCCTCACAAGCTGAACAACCACCATGTACCCCTTCCAGATAAAGAGGTGGGGCTTTTTCCCCTTGACCCTCCTGGCAGGGGTGGATAGGCAGTTTGCCTCCAGGTATAAATCTGTTTGATGGACCCCCAAAATGCCAGGTGATGACAGTAGCTTTGTGCTGGGGGTGAGCGGGATGGCGTGGTGGGGAGAGGAGTGGCTTCACCAGCGGGCCTGCAATCAGTCATGGGTTTGGCAGYTCTGCCAAAAGCTGCAAAACACACAAGGCCTATGGTTTTCCAAAACAGCCTTCAAGACTTCTCCAGAGCTCTCCCTCTTCACTCTCGTGCTCTTCCTCACTGTCCCACACATGGTTACATCTCTCAGTGGACAGGTTTGATTCTTGCTGCCAGTTGCACATTGTGTCAGAAGAGGAATTACACAGTTAAGAAATAAATAACTTTTCATCCCAATAGCATTGCACTAACAGAGAGAGCTGCAATGACACTTCATATGAAGTAGTAGGACATGTGTGATCCAACTGTGTATTCAGAGCAGCTTCTGACCTTACCTGCTTCCAGCTGTGCTGGTAGAGATCCGTGTGGGGCACCTTCCACCTCTGGCTGCATTTCCAGAGGAGAATCATAGCCAGCTGCTTTTGCAAATACATTGCTTCTGCACCTGGTTAGAAAAACACATATCTATCAACTATTACTTCTAAAAATATTTTGTGTGTCTGCAGCTCATAAACACAGCTTTACCTTGGCGGGAGATGGCTTYCTTACCATCCCAGCACTGCAAGGATCCACCCAAATCTTCCAGCTTCTAAGGCTTTGGAAGGACTTGCTCAGCAGTGTCTTCTCTAGGAGCATACTGCAGGCATGAATCCAAGCTGCATAGTGAAGGGGCTGTTACACAAGGAAGTTGTATTTCAAGGACAGTGGGAGCTCGCAAACACACGGTCAAAAGGGCAGGAAATAGCAAACCAGTTTGGAGTCAAGACAGCACACCACGAGGCTGAAAGATTCTCACTCTCCTCACCACCAAATAAATCCCTGTAGAGAGTTACTGTACTATTTAACCCGTGCTTTCCACAAGTGCTCTGAGCATCATCCACTGCTGTCAGAGCGGGCACTGGGAGAGCTCCTCTGGCTCATAAACAAGCTGTGGTCAGTCCAGCCACGAGTACATGGTGAGCCCCATGTCGGGCCTCAAGGGAATTTAATGTTCCTGTTGGCAGAGCAGTACCTGAGCAGTGCATGAAGGGTGGAGAGCAGCACAAAAGGCTTCTTGCTGCAGCCATGGGCTGATGCTCCCCAGCCCCACAGGTTTATGGGTAGCCCCAAAGGTTTAGAGATGGCCACACAGGCCRGTGCATCTGGCCTTAGATTGCTCTTTCTTCCTGTGGCCTCAGATAGAGCTGGGGGGRCTGTCTAGTAAAAAGAAAAAGGTAACTCATGAGCACAAGCTAATACATGTTCAGAGAGAGGCCAAACTGCAAATGCCCAGATGACCTTAGTGGAAATAACTGATAATTGCCGTAACTTAATTGACAATTACTTGGAGTCAATTCACAATTAAATATTCAGCTTTGCACCTTCAGTCTGTAAATCCCTTTTTTTTTTCTCCTCTGTATGCCTACATAAATAGGATTTCTTTCCTAGCAGTGTGAGTGTTGACATGCTTATAACAAACAGCTTCCTCTAGAGCAAGCCCCAGGAAGGCTCAGTGGTCTGCAGGTGTTTCCTACTTTGGCTGTTGGCTTGCATTCCCAATGTTCAGCTCCATGCTCTTCTCCCTACAAAACCTCTCTCTTGYTCTTCTCAACACCACATAAATCTTGGCACCATTTATCAATAAATTCCTGGAGTTTTGCTCTGGTCACACAAGAGCTGTAATTTGCCCTTAGACAGCAGAAAATTAGGGACTAGTAAGTGCAAGAACAGTCACTGCAGGACAGGGGTTTTCTGTTGGCAGAGGTGTAAAAACACTGTTTAACACTCACCCACCCCGCAGGTTTCATCCAGCTGTCCCTTGGTGCTGCCACTTCTACAACTGTGAACAAAATGTTAACACTGCACATTTCTGTCATGGGTTTCTAAAAATCAAGGAGCTGAAGGTATCTGCTTTTCTGCTCCTGAAAATCACAGCAGGATGCTATCACAGAGCAGCAGGAGCCCCTGCTGCTAYACACGACACAAGCTCTGGAAGAAGAGCATATCCAGCTGGGCATGGCTCTGTCACCTCCTCATTGAAGGTGCTGCTCCTTGCAGGGGAACTCCAGCAGCCAGTGAAATGGGAATAAAGCTCACAAGACAGCCAGTGGCTGGACACACTGTTCTCCCAGAGTTTGTGTTCTGTGTAACAGCAGGGGCTCCTGCTACCCTGTGGATGGAATCCTGTTGTGATTTTCAGGAGCAGAAAAGCAGATAAATTCATCATATATGTGCTACTCCTGTCCGTAACTTTGCCTTTATATTAAAAACTGACCACTAGTAAAGTGGAGCACCTAAAGCTTGAGCAGTCCTGTGGTGTTGCTTTAACAGAGCATTGTACCCTTTGATGAGGCTTGARCAGTAACCCACACTGATGACATTGACTCCGCCACTTTGTTTGTCTACAATGGATTTTGATATGGCAGATTATCAGCAGTTAACCAGCCTATGCACAGCAGTGGACAAGACCTGATTAGTTAATCCTTAAAAAAATGAAACCATGGAGATTTCTTTCATATGAATACTCTGGTCTTTACAGCTTAAACACATCCTTAAGCATTTCCCCTGCTTCTGCTTGTACCACTCCTTGAGAGGTACCCGCCTGCTGTCCCATCAGCTGGCTGAGGCTAGGGCAAGGCTGAGGAGCTTCTCCTTYTCCTTCAAAGGACCAATGCCATCCTCTCCCTCCTGCCCACTGCTGGGACAGGCAAGCACCAGCTGCCTGGGGAAAATCTCTTCCCAGCACTGAAAGAATTACTGAGTGTCCCCCCGAAGCAAATCCCCAAGCAATGCAGGCAGCTTCATGCACAGCACAAAAAGGAGGAGGAATGATGGCCTTTTGCAAGAAATTCATCTTTATTGAAGCAACCATGAGTCACACGAGCTGCCAGCTGGCCTGAGGAAGAACAATAGCAGTGGCCTGACAGTAGCAGCTGGAGCTCACAAGGGAGATTGTCTCTTTCCAGAGATCAATATATGTGATAATACATATACACGTAAGTGAATATTTCCCCACTAGAAAGTGTGTATGCTGGGAAGTGCACGTCACAACCAAATCCCTGCCAGACTGAAGTGTGTTGGTGACTGCCAGGAGGTAGCTTGTGTATTAGACTGGGCAAGTKTGAACTTCATCCTGCTTCCAGTGAAGTCAGCAGTGAAGCTCTGCTGGTTCCAAGGGAGTGGAATGAGAAGTGACAGCCCTACCCCAGCCCTCCACAACACAACTCTTTCCAGTGAAAGGTATTTGTAGCCCATGTTAAAATGCCAACCAGGTGCTGTAGGCTGTACTGCTGTTCTTGTATGTGCAGCAGCACCTGCCTGAGGGCCAGGACCTGTCCTGAACATCAACACAGAGGTTGCCATGTTTATCTCAGTAACAATTGATATTTACTGTTTTTCATGCCTAAAAGCCACTATGAGAAGTGAAAGCTGGTTCAACTTCATTTCACACTACTGTATAATATACAGCAGGTGCTACACCCATTGCAATGATGGGTTTCAGCTCAGAAGCATTTCTGCCTCCTCGCCACAAGGGCAAAGCATGCCAGGGAGTGTGCCAGCTAGACTGACAGCCTTTTACAAATTCTGTTTATTATTGATAAGGTGATGTAAAGAGGATGTGGAGTTGGACATTGTATTGTTTGACCTGGCCGGAGATCAGTCCAGTTCTCTTATAGATTTAAACTCCTGGTTGTGTGTGTAATATCAAAGTCCTTTTACCACAAGAGCACAGTGGGTCAGTGAAGCCAGATAAACACAGAATCACACAATCAACTGGGTTGGAAAGATAAACACAGAAYCACACAATCAACCGGGTTGGAAAAGACCTTGGAGATCATCAAGTCCAACCCATGACTTAACATTACCTTATCAACTAAACCATGGCACTGAGTGACACATCCAATCTCTTTTTAAACATCTCCAGGGACAGTGACTCCGGCACCTCCCTGGGCAGCCCATTCCAATGCTCAACCACTCCTTCTGTAAAGAATTTTTCTCTAATGTTTAGCCTAAACTTCCCCTTGCAGAGCTGAAGACTGTATCCTCTCCTCCTGTCACYGGTTGCTGGGGAGAAGAGACTAACCCCTACCTGGCTACAACCTCCTTCCAGGAAGTTGCAGAGAGATAAGGTCTTCCCTGAGCTTTTTTTCTGGGCTAAACAACCCCAGGTCCCGCTGACACTCTTCATAGGGCTTGTGTTCTAGACCCCTCACCAGCCTTCCTGCCCTTCTCTGGACTTGTTCAAGCATCTCAATGTGCTTCCTAAACTGAGGGGTCCAGAAGTGGACAGAATGCTCGAGTTTCAGCCTAACAGGCCCCTGTGAAACCAGGGTGGCATCAAGATCTAGGAGGCTGACTAAATCTTAAGAATTAAAAAAAAAAAAAAAAAGTTGTATTGCATTAGCAAGGAGGACTTACAGGAATATGTCCTTCTGCTGGTCAGTTGTTTCAAAGCTCAGTCACTACCCTTGTGACTTTTTTTCCTGATGTCTATCAAAAGCTCTGTAAATCTGGCAATGTTTGAAAATGGGAGAACCAGCTGACAGCCACTGGATGCCTACGTTCCCCAGCATGATCAGAAACATGCCCAAAGTTAATCATTGAATGTGTCCAGGCTGGGAGAGCACATTTTCCATCGGCACTGACACACTTTGTGTCATTTATTTGCTGATAGCGCAACATGGATCCTGGGCTGTGATCCAAAGCCATCTTCCTGGAAATATTGTATCTTTGGGGGTCGCAGGGAACTGTTTGGATGACGGTGCGAGAGAAGTTTGGTTAAATGCTGTGTTTTGCTGGGCCTTTCCTCTCCATTTTGTCATAAGGGGCTCTTTGTGTCCTTCTTGTGGAGCCACAGCCCATACTTCTCCTGTTGAAGGAATCTGCATCTCTGAGCCCAGTGGCAATGCAGGAAAGGGAAATGTGGGACACACATCCCACCACCTGACCCCACACAATACCTTCCCAGGGGATTTTGGGGGTGACTTCAGACATCTCCCTGTGCCAAGAGCTGGCTCTGCCTGGTAGGGATGCCCGAGCATCAGGTTTCTACCTCTCTTGCAGGATGTATTTGCCTTTGCGGTACAGGTTGCTGCTGAAGTGGATGGAGAACCAGAGGAATGAAGTTAGGATCATCCCATAAACCTAAATGGAAATAAATGAGACAGACATACAATTAAGTGTGTAACTGATTATGATGCTCCATCTGTGCAAATAAGCAGTCATAAATATAGCCTGTTGTCACATTTTTCTGAAGAGAGCTGGTTTTCAGTGAAGTGGTGAACACCATTTCTGACACGGAGGAAAATAAAAGACAGCGTGTGGTTAAAACATCTGGAATTAGCACGGCACAGCTCAAACCTGGCCCTAAAAATATCAAGAAATAAGATGAAACTAGCACATTCACATTTCAGTTCCTGCCACAGAACACTGTGCWATGCAAACAAACATATCTCTCATAATAATAGCCTTTTGTAACGATACAGATAAAGGGAGAAAAAAACACAACACACATATATTGTTTGGAGTAAAATCCCCAAGAAAACAAACATATAAACAAACAGAAACCTAAACCAACCCCAAACAGTAATGAAAGCAGAGGACAGTGTACTTCCTCTCTATTGTGATATTCTGCCTGGTGTATCACGCATCAGAATTAACAGTGGCAACATACCCAAAGTAAGGCGGCTGTGGGAAGGATAATGAGGACTTTAACAATGTGCTGGTTCCTAAAGTATGCCCTAATGGGCTAATGCCTTTGCTTGCAGCTTGATCTGAGGATGTGTGTGCATTGTTGGCCGAGGGACAGTGACATCAGAGCAGCTATAGCCCTCTTTACGTGCTTCCCTTGCATCCTGCCATCACAATAGTGAATCATGCAGCGAGATTTCCTCTAGCASAGGCTTCAAAGATAGCTGCCTTATCTGGCTATAGCATCAAGCTGTGAAAAAAGTGTATGTATTATAAAAGCACGCTCCTGCTTTTATCTGAATATAGCTGCAGTGAAATTCTCCCTATATCTGAAAAAAATTGGAAAGTGACACCAAATATTCACGTGACTTTGCACTTATAGCTCCGCAGCAATGCCTGATGGTTTTCCTAAATTACTGCTAGCAGTTTGAAATACATAAGTGTTTGTTCTCTGGGTTTTATTTAGACAGAGAAGAATCTTCTAATCCATAATTGTGCCAAGCTGGACACCAGCAGTAAAACTATCTCCAAATACTCTTTCAGTCAAGAAAGGTCATCCCAGCTGGGGAGCAGCATGGAGGGATCAAAGCAGACCAAACCAGCCTTCATGGTGGAGAAAGGAGTCTCCTGGCACATGCTCTTTTCTGGTGTACATCACCACACAAGCAGAGTCCTTGCATACAGGTAATTACAGTGATGCACCTCTGACAAGCAGTGGGTGGGCAAAACAAGAAGATTGGTTTTAATTAGTGGCCTATTCCAGCTCCAGAGAGACTGCCCCTATGCAGATCCCAAGCCCCCTCACCACTGAAAGACATGGCTCTCTTGTAGCATTTAATATTTTCTTTAAATACTATCTTTCTCCCCCAAATAGGAACCAAATTAAGTGCAGAGCCTTGCTACACAAGCCATCCTTGAAAGATGATTTCACCCCTCCTTTGCATATTACTCCAAAGATGGAACCTGGGAGCCCAGATAATGTGCTCTTCCCCTCTGCTTTGCAGCCTGTTCCTTTTGAGCCTGTGATTTACTCACCCATTGCCCAAGATGAACCTTATCAGGTTCATTACTGATCRTTAATAATATCAGACCTTCCCTTTCTGCACAGATCTCCAGCTCCACTACTGGTCCTTAGTAGCTTTCAAGACCTTCCAGCTCTGGCTGTACAAGTGACTTCCCATGCTGACCTAGGAGGCAGCAAGTTTCCTAAAATACGGAGGTTTTACTGCATCTCTTTTTCTACCATTGCTGCTGGTTTCCTGCATAATCCACAAGCCCCCAGCGAGGTGACACGACCTCTCACTTACAGATGGAGTCATGCAGGCAAGCCTGASCAGATGAAATGCAACTGCTGCTGCATCCTGCTCCCCACTCCCAGCTGCCATGCCTTGTTTKGGCACAAAATCCATGCAGCCAACCTATTCCTACATGAAATCCCGTCCACCTATGAACCTGGCCAGGCTCCTGACCGTTTCCTATTTTACATGGTGAAACCCACCACTGCTTGTTTCTCTGCTGCAAGCCTCCAAAATCACCCCAAATCCTAGCTTCTGGGGGCTAATTTAGGTATTTTTTTCCTCGCTGGATCCTGCCTTTCAGGGCCAAAATGTGGAAGGGCAGACACTGTTACCGTGAAGCCAATGGCGATGCCCAGGAGCGAGAAGACAAAGTCCATGTGCTTCTTCAGAAAATCCTGGATCTCTTGCAGACAGTCCTGGGAGAAGAGAAACACCTTTTGCAGCACAGCAGCAGCTTGTTGAGGAGATTTACCCCTGCAACAGCACTTTCACAGCCCCAGAGAGAAAAGGAGGCAAGAAAGGGCTGTGGCATTGCACAGATAAGCGGTTCTCCTTTTTTCTGCTGTGCTGCAGCTTGGGAAGATGAACACGTGCAGTACCTTTTCTGTTACTACAACATGCCTACGATTTTCTTGGTGACATGCATTTTGTGCTTTGGGGGATATGGGCTTAAGTGTTGTCCTGCAAGTGCTATTTTCTTTTCACCCACTAAAAAGTAGAAAGAAGGAAATGGAACAATAGAAAAGCAGAGCACACCAGGATGCTAAATGCTTTCCCCAAGGTTACTAATGAAGAGCTCCATTTTGCCAGGTGCAGCAAGCATTAATATACATTAGCCTTAAGCATGCCAATGGCCCACAGAAATCCTAGAGGTGTTAGCCAAGAGAGCCATTTCAGAAATGCAAGAGGATGCCCTTGACGAAGGACCTGCAGAGCMGGCAAGAGCACTTAAAACCAGGAGTGACCGTAGCACAGCCACCAAACTGCGGTTTCCTGTGTTACACAAAGCACATCCTCCCACCCACTTCCCTGGCTCCCAGGCGAGGGGAACACAAACCACTAAGTGGGAGGAATGGAGTCACCCATACGGTGCCCAGCTTTGTTCTACTCTCCCTTCCTGCTCTTTGAGCTGAGTTCAGCCCAGCCTTGGGATGTGACATTCCTGGAGGCAGTGCTTTGAAAGCTGCCCCWTGGGCTGATGTGCGCCTGTGTATCACATGTCCTGTTAGCACTTGACATCTTCACCTGACAACAGCATGTTTGTATAGCTGCAGCAGCATGGTTTTGTTTTTCTTAGAAACACTAYATATTAATGCTGGTGTTTGTGCTTTAGCTACTTTGGTGGAAGAAAAAATATTTGTACAATAGGTTTGCTCAGAGAGTATGAAGTTGTAGCTCCAGTGCACAACAATCTAATATTGGTGGCTTCTCCATCAGCCTCGCTGAGATACTCAAAAGAGGAGGAATGAAGTGTACTTGAGGAAGCTGCTGCTGGGTATCATCATCCTGTTTCATGAGCTTCTCATTCTAATACTTATTTAATGYCCCGGGAAAAAATGAATTACATCAAATTCCACATTTGATGTTAGTGGAACACATTTTAAGTGTCAGAAATGAGTGTCAGAAGGAAAAGTCAGATGGTTTTTCTGTGCTCTGATACATGCCTGTGATATTTCACACTGTATGCACAGGAGATGAGCAGGAAGCTTGAGGGAAGTGACAGGTTGCAAACACAACCATTTTGAAAGCTTTCTAGAGCGGTGAAGGAAACTGCATCTGTTGGTGTGAGACCTGCTGATCCACCGGGGCTCCTCCTCCTGATTCACAGAATCCTAGAATGGTTTGGCCTGGAAGGGACCTTAAAGATCACCCAATTACAACCCTCCTGCTGTGGATAGGGACATCTTTCACTAGACCAGGTTGCTCAGAGCTCTATTCTGCCTGGCCTTAAACACTGCCAGGGATGGGACAGCCACAAATTCTCTGGGCAACATGTGCCAGTGCCTCACCACCCTCACAATAAACATTTTTTTCCTAATATTTAATCTAAACCTACTGTCAGTTTCAAGATATTCCCCCATGTCCTGTCATTATACCCTCCTACAAGAAGTTCCTCTCCATCTTCCTTAAATCTTTCTCCCTTCAGGTACCAGAAGGACACAATTAGGTCACCCATATGCCATCTCTTTTTCAGGCTGAACTGAAGCAATCCTCTCAGCCTTTCCTCATAGGACAGATGCTCCATCCCTCTGATCATTTTGGTGGCCTCCTCTGGACTTGCTCCACCGGGTTGATGTCCTTGCTGTGCTGAGGACCCCAGAACTGGATGCTCTCCACCACTGTGTGTTGTTATTTTAACAACAAAACTCCAACAAAACAAACCCCAGTCCATTTCAACCCCAAACCATGAAAAAGCCACAACTCTCATTAACACTTTAGCACTAGCAAAGTTTTGATAGCTAGAAAGTAGTGGCACAACCTTGCTATGGTGTGGGAGAAATCTGTCCCTTACCTGTCCCTCATCGCGCACCTGRCCAGGTGGGCATGTCTCGTGCTCAACACTGGTTGTGTCCCCAAAAGGAGAGTGCTTCCCACAGCACAGGAACTGTAAGAGAGGGAGAAATTTGCCAGCTGCGTGCCAGGGCTCTCCCCTTGATACCAGCTGCTGCAGCAAGAGGGGCTGGCAAGAGGCCCCTGCTGCCCCAGGCAGGGTTACCCAACCAGGGTGGCAACAAGCAAAGCACACAGGAATCAACAGATGCGGCAGTGCGGGCTAAATTAAGAGGAGGTGRATGGATCTGGCCTCAAACTGGCTCATGCTCTTCCAGGACTGCTGCCTGGGACTGGGGCCAAGCCCTCCCTCTGTGGTCACACTAATGCTCACAGTGAGTGGCTGCTCCGGAAAACACAGGGATGCAGAGACTCATGTTTCCAGTGAGTGTTTTGGGCTGGAGGGAACCCCAGCAACACCCACCATGGAGCTGGTTTCCTGTAGCTGTAGTGCACTGGGCAGTTTGGAGCTCTGGCAGAAGAAAAAAAAATAATAGGAGTAGGACTGCTTCTCCATCAATTAAAGAGGCAACTAAAATAAGCAGCTGGTGAAGCCAGGCATCGTGCTCAAGCACATCTGTACCACAGATAGGGAGCAGGGTACAGGGGCTGCTGAGACAGAAAACAGTACAGCAGCTGCGGTGTAGAAGTTGTGTAGATCTTGCACCACAGCGATTCTCAAAGAGGTGACCATTTCTTCCTGTTGGTAAACTGTTTGGTTAGACCTGGGAAAGGAAGAACAGGAAAGGAGGAGCAGAACCCACAGCAGGCTGGAGTACTCTGTTCTTGAGGGAAAATGGCATTGCAGCATTCATGAGGCAGAGCACAGGTGTCAGTCCCAGCCTGCCAAAACCCTCAGGAAGATACCCCAGGACACAGTTTTCTGCAACAGGTGAAAGGCAACTTACAGCTTCATGGATGGCAGTCAGCTCGTGCCTCCTGACGCTGGAGGTGTTCCTCCTCACCTCCTCGTACACGAAATCATATACATCCATCATGCTGTCTTCTACCTGCCATGAAAATAGAGGTCTGTAGATGCAAAATAGTAATCTCTAGATGGAATTGTGTTCTTGATTTCCACAGAAATCCACCTCTCAGATATAGCAATACAAGCAGTGCAGCTACTAAATGACTCCCAGGCAGCAGCAGGAGCTGGTATGTGACCCACCATGCACCAAGGGGCTGGGTCTCACGAGCTGATGGATGGAGCTTTTGGCCAGTTTTGGATTTAGTGTCAGAGAAAACTCAGGTGCCTGCGATCAATGTGTCTCTGAGTCCCTCTCCCAGGCAGGGCTGGTGCCATCTCCTTATCCTGAAGGGGATACTGTGAGGACAGGCACATATGACCATGAGATGCTAAAATATAAAGGTGAGAGACCTCAGAAGGCTGGTGTTATCCGAGTGGCAGAGCCATTTCTCAGAATAGAGTAAAAAAATAATGGGAGTGGTTCAGTGGTGAGTCAGACCCTAAATATTTACCAAATGTGTGAGAACTTGAAGCTTGACAGATCCCAGCCAACTTTTGCTTGGTGTCAGAGGGGAAAAACTGACAGTTGCCTTYGGTGCCTGGAGTCAAAACCTTATTTCTTCCTTTCATTTTGCCTCGCTTCCTCAGCAGCAGCAGTCTGAGCGGGCARTGCTTGTCTCTCAGGAGGGAAAAGGGATGGGAGAGACAGGCAGAGCCGCTGGCCACACAGGAAAGTCTCTGGGAACAGAGCCATCTCTCAGCGAGGCTTTGCAGCTCAGTCTTAAGAGTCCACCTTTGGAAATTACTCTAAGGAATACAATGCCAGCACCCTCTGCTCAGGGGTGAAACCAGGATCATCCAAGGTGGTTACATCTGTCACTGCACTAATGCTTTGCCCTGCCCAGCCGGCCAAAACACAAGCAACAAACAGAGGGTGATAACCAGGGAGAAAAGAAAGGGTTGAGAAGATTACTTGTATCCAGCTTGGCTCTGTGCCTCCAGATTTTCAGAAGATTTTCAGAAGATTTTCAGAAGATTTTCAGAAGATTTTCCATGGTTATGAACATGGCATAAGAGTGTCCAATGACAGACACAGCTCAGATATTCTGGGCCAAGAAAAAGATACCCCATAGCTAAATATGTGACACAGAGCTGTCCCATACAGGTGAGGAGGGAGGATGCTTCTTTTGCCCCTCTGCGTAGCACAATGCTTCAAATAGGTGGGTGCAGTAAGACTATATCTCTAGGCAACTTCTGCACCAACTTCCCCACAGCAAACCTTAAAACCTAATAAAAAGGAAAACATCCAAGCTTTTCTAACTTCTTGTGGGCCATGAAATAGCTTTCCAGAAGCAGCAATTAAATAAATGGATTCAATATAAAGAAGGTCCATTTCCACTGAAGAATTGGATTAAGAATGRAAAAAGAATAATCTTTTGAGCTCCTCCTGTGGAGAAAGGAACAACAGAACAGTGGGCTTCTTAATGTAAGAGATTATTACTTTTGAATATATCAATCCCAGTCTAAGATGCAGGAATAAAAACTATTTTGTGCTGTGACAGCACACATATGTGTTTTGGTAAAGGAACAGTGCTGCACGTACAATTTTTGTCTTTTCATATTTATCACTAGGGCCAGGATGCTGAGCTTTTCTCCAAAAGGCCTCAATTTGGATGACTTAAAAAAAATTATAAAGGGTTCAAGCAAGTTGCTAAGTTCAAGCAAGGGCTCAAGAGGGTGAAAACAATCCAGAAGTTTAACTACTTCTAAAGGTTTCCTGAACTCTGAAAATTTTGGGACAGGTAACTATTTGAAGGATAAAAGTGGAGAAGAAAGAACTTAAGGAACAAGATGCCCATAACAAAACTATGGCTGAAAATTATTCCAGCTGTTGGAAACAACAGTGGAAGAAACCATAAGCAGTCACTGTTTCACAGCCAGCTCAGCTAAAGTGATGGAGATGATGATGGTAATCTCCAGGTATATAATGATTACTAAAAACTTCAACTGCACCATTTCTGAGCTTGCTTGTGAGCTGACTTCTCAGTTACCTACTTTCATTTTATTTTATTTTCATTTTGACAAGCAGCCTCCAAGAGCTGAAAACAGAAGAGATTAAATGGAAAATGTTTAATAGCAATAATTTCCTTTTAGAATATGTGTCTGGGCAAGCCTAAGAGTACCATTTGCTGATTAGTCATTCTGAGTATTTCTATCTAGCAATTATATCCAGCATTTATATCCAGACATTATCTGAATAGGCTATTCAGATTCTAGTAAGGGAATATCAAACTCTAAATCCATTTTTAAAGAGTGAATTGCTTCTAGTTCTGCCATATAATCTTTCAGATTTTTGCTAGGATCATTTGGTTTTGGAGGGAAAAACTACTGTTTTCATACAACAGTGGTCTGTTTTCAAAGACTACTGTAGATAGCTTTCTCATTTAAATATTTCAGAGATAGGTATATAGTAAAAAATCTCAGTATTTATCACTGAATGTTTCCTTCTGTGAAGAAGGAAAGTGCCRTAAGACTGTGCCACAGAGCATACAAGAGGTCTGGTTTAATAAGAGAAGATATAGGAGAGCAAAACATCATGCTTTGCTGCCTGGGATGGGGTAATGTTTATACTCAGAGCTGCAGCCAAGCTCTGATGTACCAGTCATGCACGGCAGCATCTATCCAGCCCAAAATGTTGTGCGTGTTCATGCATGCCTGATGATGTAAAAATTAAATCCTGAAAGTGAGACAGTCACCAGGTGGTTTCATTACCTCTTTACAACATTGCTTCATCCAGCACAAGTTCATCCCCATAGTTTCCTTTGATCTATCTCCTAATACAGTGAAGATCTGGACTGCAGCACTGCTTTGTACTTAATCATCATCATTAACAGATTCCCATCTCACACTCCCCTGATGGGCCACTTCACATCCATTGCCTCAAGACAATTTCCTTCTTCTGTATCTTACATGAAATGTTAGAGGGAAAAAAATACTATAAATAGTCAGGGTGCTTTCTCACATGGTTAGGCAACAGGATGCCTTTTGAGCTTSAGTGCTTACACTGATACTGTTAATAATGTGCTTTAGATAAAAAGCTGCACCCCATCACTTAAGCAATACTTAGCATGCAATGGACCAAGCTGGAGAAGAGAAAGTCCATCTGCTTTGTGAAAGGTCTTACACTCCTCCCACACATAAGCATCATTATGGTCAAGTGGATTTTCCTGTTCCTGGTCACATGCTGAAGGAGTTCTGCTGGACAAAGATCTCCCTTGGAAGGAGACTGCCCTGCAGTGCTCATCAGTAAGAAACACCAAGAGCTGAAGATAAAGCATCAGTTGGGCTTTGGTTAAGAAAAATCTCCAGCTTGAGTGATATGGAGGTCACACCTCACAGTAATTCTTTTCCTGGGAGAAGCTGGGTAAAATGTTCCAGCTCTAAATCAGGTAAATAATTGCTGCCTCTCACTTCTGTCTGCATTCCTTGATGAAATATTCATTTATGAATTGTATTGATGGGTTGTTGGATACAACAAATGGAAAATCACCACTGAAATTGACGCAGCTGACTCCAGCTGASTCAGTAAGTACCATTTTTCACCTAAAGTAAAAGAAAAAAATGRATTTCGAGATTGTTTATCATCCTCTAAATCCTTTGCCCCCAAGACACAGGACGTATGACTGCAGGAAGATATATATGTACTTTAAGCCATTAGAGTTCTTGCCCTTGGCTATTAAAACTAACGCAAATTTTAGCCTTACCTGCTTCAAGAGGAAAACTGACACTTTTGAGTTAGGTTATTTATCAAGATAATTTTTACCTGTAACTGGTTTTGGAACAGAAAGATGAGACAAGGTCTGCCTTCAGTTCCTGATCCCCTTGCAAGCCAAAGGTGTCAGTGAATCTCAATCCTGCTGCCAGTGAAAACCTGTGCCAAGGCAACCTGGGAGTGTCACTTAGGTGGAAACTAATATGGATTTGTGAATATAGACCAAGAACAACAGTCTGAGTCTTAGTGAACTATCTCTGCAATTGCTGTTGGGCAAAACCTGCCCTGCAAAGCTTAAGGTGAATATAATGAAAGGAGATGTCAGGATTGCATCAAAGGTAAATCCACCTTCCTCCTTTCTGATAAACAGGAACACTCTTGACATGGCATAGGAGGAAGAAGCATGGGAAGCATGGGATCTTCCTCTCCTGTGGTTCTTCGTACCTTTGAAGAACGAAACCAAGCACATGAAATGCTGCCTCAGAAGAAAGTGCAACCTCAGCACTTTTTGACCTTCCTTGCTCCAGGAAGAAAAACACTTCTGCATTTTGCTGTCTTCCCTTTCCTCCCCAGTGTGCAGACAAACGCGTGTTCACAACATGTCAGAAACAGGGATGGGGGCAGAGGCAACTGATTGGGCTTGAGTAAAGCAATGGTGCAACTGCAATGAAACAGAGGAGAGAAAGCCACTCTGGGGGCTTCAGCCAGGCTGCAGAGCAACTCCTATCACATGGATCAAACACATGGTAAGACGAGCTTCCCCCATCCAAGCCCTCTCCAACACAGTCATTAGAGCATGCTGAAGGTTTAGATTTCCTTCATTGCACATCAGCTCCCCTCCTTTCAAGCCTTCCTCCAGCCAGTCATGCCCAGATGCAGAAATCCAGCCAGGGCTGCAAACCAGAGTAGCCTTTGGGGCCCCCWGTGGAAAATGGCATGAAGATAAGAAGGTGCTGCTCCCTCTCCAGCTGAGTAGTCACTGGAGACCACTGATGCAAGAAGATCCAGATGAGGCTTTTAGCCAAATGATTTTCACCTTTTTCCCCCCCAAATCTATATATAGAAACAGATTTTATATCTATCTATACATACATTAAAAAAAACACCAAACCAAACCACGTGGGCTTCCCTCTACTTTCTGGTATTGTMAAGGAACCCTAATCCTCCTTTGGAACATGAGTGAGGAAATATACAGAAGGAGACAGATCAAAAACTATGGTGGAATAAAAAACTCAGGAAAAGTGAAAACTCTTTCTCTCCAGCCTCAGCAC